AATTTCATTTTTGGGTGAACTATCCCTTTAAGTGCACAAGAATCTTTAATTCCAATATGTTTGGTATTTGTTTGATTTTAACATATTGCTAAGCTGATGACAAGACACTCCAACAAGCATAAAAACATTACACACCCAAATATTGGATAAAATAGTCTTTTTTTTTATTATGTGACTGAGCTATATTTATTAGTAATTGAAGATGAAATGCATTATGAGATTGTCTTCTGTGCAAACTTAAGCCAAAAGAAGATATACTCTTAAAAATAAAGGTTTCAAAAAGGAGGTTTTACCGTGATGCCATAGAAAAACTATTTTGGGTAACTCAAAGAACCTTTCGGTGAATACTTTTTAAAAAAATCACTTTTTTTTTTTTTAGTGTGAAGAACAATTTAATAATTAATCTTTTTCCACTATAAAGAACCTTTATTGCCATGGAAAGGTTGTGTGGATGATGTTAAAGGTTCTTCATGGAACCACAGATGCCAATAACTCTGAATTTTCCGGCTTTCTGTGGTATACAGTAGGTGGCACTATTACACATTTTCAGAAAGAGTACTGAATCTCTGTATCAGAATACAGTGAAGAAGAAGCAGAAACAAGCAGATGCATATGTAAATTAACATGATCATCAAGCATTAAACAGCATATAAATCAAAACTGCCCAATGTTACTGAATGAAATGTCAGCCCAGGAAGTGGTTTAAGACTGTGAAGCTTTGGGGAAGTTGATGGACGCGATCTACTTCATCTATGTTTTGATCATTTTTGTGAATCCGATCCAGATGTATCAAATTATTTTCTGACAAAAAAAGAATGCATGAAGCTTGAATAAAACATTTTGTTTTGTTTAAAAGCAGAGGTGCTGTTCTTTCTTTTGACATATTGTATGTTCGGATATTCATACAACAAAGTATTCTGGGACCATGAAAATTTTGTGAAAATGCTCAAAAATGCTGGAAGTGGCTGGCAACATAAAAAAAAAAAAAAAAACGCTGGTGGGGAAAAAGTTAAAGGAGGTCACACACCAGATGAGAAGAGCATTGCAGCACCCATTGCATCTAATTGGTGTCAATGGGTTTGAAGTTCGGTGTTTGAATAAGCAGAGGTTCTTCATGGAACCACAGACGCTAATAAATAACTGTTATTTTTAGGAGTGTATTTTAGAAGCATTTTTTTTTTTGGTTGCAGCCTTCACATTTGGAGCGTGTGATGCCACAACTATTACAAAATATCACAAATATTAAACACAAATATTACGAAATGTCAAGCAGTGCATCAAATCAAATACCTGGACAGAAAGGTTCCTGATGTGAGATTTTTAGTTTCAAGACTTGCCAGGCAATTTGTGATGCCAGGAATCAGAGCCAGTTCTGGAGACACAATGGCAGCCGATCCCACCGCTCGTGCCACCAGCTCCAAAGCATCCTGGACGTAATGATCCAGCGAGTGCTCACCCATGCCACCATGTGCAAGAAGACCCATGGGCAGCCCCTCTGTCCGCAATTCCTCCACATTCTGAGAGTCTCCTATAATCCAGTGGTAATCAGGAAGAATCAGACCAAACTTTGCAATGGTAGTAAAGATTCGCCTTATATCCCTGATGTCACATCCAAAGGTCACTATAGTAGATGTCGAGTCCTTAATGGACTCTAGTTGAACTTGCAGGGACATTTGAAAGTCACTTTTGGAGCTGCCATTGGTGGATATCTTGAGAACTGTCCCCAGATGAAATTTGGAGTTGTTATGGAGCAAGAAAACAAAGTCTGAAATATTCATCTGTTGACACATCACCAGACTGACATCATACCAGTTATTCATGGACAGCAGGGAGAAGATGAGATCTGCTTGAGAGGTTTGAGGGTTTTGCATGGCCATCTGGAAATGGAGAGAGTTCTGTTGGGAAGAAACAGATGAGGTTATCATTACAAAGAGATGGATATACAGTACTACGGATCTTGTTTGTCAAACATCCAACTAGTCAACTGGTAATTCCGACTAGTTCATCTGGAATCAAATCATGATTCATAATGGCATAACAGTTCTGAGTTCGAGGATGTGAACCGCCCAGAGTAGTACATCCTGGTTGTCATCTATAGTAATTACAACATTCCGTGAATGCATCTTTTAATAAATGCTGTTGGCCTTTTTAGGCCATCGCAGTGTATTTACTATTTTTACTATTCTCCATCTAGTTGATTTTACACATCCCTTCCTGTCTGCCAAACAGATGGAAGGCGTGAGTTTTAAGCCCAACAGATAGTTATCGTAAATGCATGATTTGATGGAAGAGTCTCCTTCTGTTTGCAGATTGAGTTTCGAAAGCAGATTCTCCTCTGAGGAAAACACATATTAAGATTTCCAACATGATGTCCAAGTGCGCAATTCTTTGCTTCTGAAAACAATTTCTTTTAAGTGCTCTCTGGTTCCATTTATGATGCATGGAAATAGAAATGCATCTATTTTAGAATCGTCAAAGTAGTTCAACACATTTGAAAGTTGACAAGTCCTCTGAAAATAGTCTGTTCAATTAGCATCCTCGAACGCTTTGAACTTGCATTTATTAACTGCATCTCGTTGCTCTGTCCAAAGACAAAACTCATGCAATTAACCACAATGATCTGCTTATTTTTGAAATGTTAGGAAATATTGGCCAATGGACCAAAATGCTGATTTATTGTTTGATTTTCCAGTTACTTGATGATGGGCATTAACATGACTAGGAGCAGTGTTGCCAAGTCTGCGATTTTCCAGCAGAAATTTGTTGCCGTGGGTTAATATGTGATTTAGACTGAGGTGGAATCCCTGAAAGCAGGAATGCGATTGGACTAGTGGTTAGTAGTTTTGAGTACCAGTTAGGCTGGTTTTGTTACACAAACCTGGCAACCCTGACTAGGACTCTACTGAGTCTCAGGCATTCCCACCAAAATATGGATGTAGAGTATTTCAGATATGGAACGAACATCTAAACGTTGCCCACTAAGGACATCCAAAAACATTAATTACGCAAGGTCTGGGATCTCAATGTTTTAATAATATAATAGCTATTAATAACATGACATTGTCCTGCTAAGGAAATCAAGACCTTAACAGACACTGCCAGGTGAAATGTTTAGTCGAGCCATTTAATTTCCTCTGGGGCTGCAATTATGCGATGGCAGAAAACAGGCTAATCAGAACTGATTAAGGAAACGCTTTCCAGGGATTTATCTCAAGATTTCTAAACAAAGTCAGACTTATTTTCAGTAGGAGTTGTCTTGAAATCTAATTGGCCTAACCGGTGGGAGAGTAATAAGTACCACTAACAAGTTAAGAAGAGACACTTAAGAGGTTTTGAGTGGATACATCATCCCGAGTAAGTTTTATCTTGAAGGAGCCCATGTCATTAGATGATTTGCAAGCTGGGATACAGCCAGATATTACTGCTGTGTCATAAAAAAAAGCACTGGAGGGTGATACAATTATGTGCGTTTCCAGCAGCTTTGAAGATGAATGGGTAAAGATGGGTGATTTGATACAGCCCAGTTCTTCAGGCCTGTGGAGAGTGGCTTGATGGACTTTCTGTTTGTCTTCTCGTAACCTTGAAACCTTCAACATATCCCAGAAGGAATTGGGAATAATAAATGATGAAACCACCAATGATGTGAAATAACATAGTTGTTGTAATGGTCTTTAATAATATAGACATCTAATTGTCACCTGTGTTACAGTGGAAATTATTACTGTCACCTTTTTCATAACAATGGGCAAAATAAGACCAAATGTTCATAACTTTGGGAAAAAAATTTGATTCAGAAATAGAGTTTGTAATGTTTACTAAATTAACAATTCATACAGTTCATTAAACTATTAAACACACATCTCCGAAATGAAAAGTTTCACTTTAATGTACTATAAAATTACATGAATAAAGATACTCATTAAAAAATAAAATAAATAATGACCAACAACAAACAAACAAGCAAATAAAATAATTAAAAAATAAAAATAAAATAATGCCAAGTTCTAGAAAGAATCTAACAATTTGATTCTTAAAATGGTATTGCATCCCTAATTTAAATACACATTAAAATGTCAATAGCCTTTCTGTGTTAACTCATGTTTTTGCAAAACCTTGACAATGATTTTCCCTTTGGGCTGTTTTGCTGCTGATGTTTTAATAAATAGGCAATTACTACATCATCATCAAACTGTAGACTTTTTTTCTTCACATTTCAAATTCTTGATTCGTATTCAGTAACACATGGTAAATGTCTGCTGTTTTAGCATTCAAAATATGTTTTTTTTTTATCTCATTCTTCCTTCCTTCCTTCCTTCCTTCCTTCCTTCCATCCAGTATTTAATGATATGCAATCAAATAAATTGAAGGTGTTTTATCATATTTCACCATACCTACAAATCTCTGTTTATGTATGTCTGACTTTTACTTAAGATTTAAGTATTGAGAAGAACCAAATATATAAAGATCAAGGAATTCTGTTATGGCAATGGACCCAGAAACCTTTGTGTTGAAAACTATGAGTTTTGTATTTATCCACCGTCTATGAGCACAATTCCTGTTCTGACAGAAATCAGTAAGGCTCAGTAACGAGCACATTGAGAGACTAATTGCTATTTGGACAGACAACAGACACCGCGTAAACAAAGACCTGACCAGAAGATGGTGCTAACTTCAAAAGATCAGATATCAAACAGCTCAGTCCTCAGGGTGCTCAGCAAAACGCATTTTTAACAGACACTATGTGTCACCATCTAAATAGCTGTCTTATTTGTGGTTTTCACTGATCCAGTAGGTGTCATAACAAACTTCCAATTCCATTTCCAAAAAGCAATTCCACCCTTTCATCAGACACAGTCAGTTCTAGTAAGATTTAAATATAGGCAAATATATTGTGAACATTTGATACCAGTAATTAAAACATCAGTTGTACTAATAAATAGCACTGAATTTATGATTTATACACTAAATATGAGACATGCACTCTTAAAAAAATAATTAAAGAACAACAAAGCCATTAAAGAACCATTTTTGGTTGTTACTCAAAGAACATCTTCTTAAAAAATATATCTTTCTTTCTTTTTTCTTTTTAATAATCTGAAGAACCTTCTTCTTCCACTATAATGCAATGGAAATATTCCATTAATGTTTATGGTTCTTCTTGGAAATGATACCAATAAAGAACCTTTATTTGTAAGAGTGCGGGATAAAACATGTTCAACAACAACACTGTCATTAGTTTTGACAAATTTAATTTGTCGTTCTGTAAAAATATACTACACTATGACTCACACCCCCTATCACTGCAACTTAAAAATATAAGCTTTTAACAACATTTGTAATAACCATAACATAACATCATAACATAGTCATAACATAACGGACTTGAAACTTACGAAATGCATGCAATATGAAATGTAGTATGTATTTGTGTATGTTAATTTTATATGTTAATTTAAAAAAAGAAAACATTTTACAGCTGTGTTATTGAGTTATATAATTATATATATATATATATATATATATATACCCACTTGTTTGAGCGCGGTTTTACTTTTGGAGGCCTTGTGGGGGTTATTCACTGAGCTTTTAGTCCTGATACCCCTCCAGCCATGCTCGTGCCCACGTTGGGTGATCGTGTCCCACTCTTCCCACGTTTCTCTGTCTGCTTCCCAGTCCGGATCTCTCCCTCTGAGGGAATCCTGCCTGAACACTCGAGGCTGCAGGTGCAGAGCTCCGACTCTCACCGTGTGTCCGATCCTCTTCAGAATCTGACATGGCTGTGGATGCGCCAGAGATGCCGGGGGAACAAGCAGCATTATCAAAGCGCTTGGCGTAAGTAAGGAGAGCCACAGCAACCTGCCCAGCGCACCCCAGATCCAAGAGTCCGGCATTACTCCAAACAAGCCTCGGTTAAGCTCTGGAAACGACGGGATGCGCGTCCACCTGCGCGCCCGGTGGTTCCTGCACAGCGCTGGATAGATGATGGATCACCGGTGAATCTCCTAGACGCAGCAAAGTTGCGCTCCTCTCCAACGGGCTTCTGAGGGATCGCCAGCAGTGCACATGTCCAACGCGGCTCGAAACACTCGTTGCTCATCTCAAACGCGTTTATGGACAAACTATTCTCGGTACGAAATAATCAAGTGTGTGTTGTTTTTACGCACTCTCCAAACAGGTGAAAAGGCAGCTACTAAAATGCAAAGTGACTGTAAAAACCCAAAAGCGCTTATATTCTCCAGATCAACGTAAAGAAGTCCAAGGATATGAAACAAATACTTAGATTTTCCATTTATTTTTTATTTTTGCATGCAAACCTGCATTCCATCCTGAATTTGATCATGAATAATCGTGACGGATCTCCAAAAATGTTGATAATTTACATGCAAACTATGTCAGAACAGAAACGAGCGTTTAAATGGCTTAAAATGCAGTTTAAACATGTTGCGCAGTTCCGATAAACTCACACAATGGCACTGGAATAGTGCAGATTATTGGCTGCGCTGTGCGTTTAACCCCTTCACTGCTGCACTCACACCTCTGCTATACACAGACACAGACATTGATGGATGTTTTTATTTGCATATAATTTAAATTATATATATATATATATATATATATATAGCTTTTTTTCTTAAAAAAAGATAAGCAAACACAACAAAATAACTCAAATTGGATCCAATTTGATTTTATCTGCATAACACTTTTCACAATACAAGTCAGATTTAAGTAGAATATCGCACCAGTGAGTAAGCTAAAGGCAACAAAGTGGCAAGGAAAGCAGATGTTGTTTACGCTCATGCCAATTTTCCTTAGATAGTTTCACAACACTTTATCTAAAGAAGCAGCCAAAATACGTTACACACCAATTTTGCTGAAACTAATTCTGATTGGTTAGGAAGTCTAACCTCTGCCTCTCCCTTTAATCATCAGCAGTGCTGTCATTCTATCACTGACGCAATCCTGATTTACAGCAGGAGAGGTTGGATAAGAGGAGGGGCGTGACACCAGAACAGTGCTGTCAGTGAGTGATGAACAAGAAAATCACCACTGCCATAAATATCACACATCATTCTTTTGCCGAGACTATGCAGCCAGAGCACCGGTTGTCCCCTGAGGTCCCGGTGGGTCATAGCTTATAGACAGGTTAAACAGATGACCTGAGGACTTGACCTTGATCTCATTAGAATCGATAGGTATTTATATGCAAATGGTTCAACATAGTTTATAGTAAAACATGTAATTTGACGTTATTACAAAATACACTTTTTAAAACTGACATGAAAGTTTCTCTCTTAATGTACACTTAAGTGACATTTTATTTAGTATATTATCTGCAAGTCCAGTTTACTAAAATATATTTTAAAGATATATCCCTTCCAGCGGCCTGCTACTCACATGAGATCACAACAATTAGCAAACGGCAATGATTTAATCAATTCTGATGGACATAATCAAGACCTTCCCAATTTTCATCATTCAAGAAGCATAATTTGCCACAACAGGAAAGAAAATACAGCTTCAACAGCTCTATGCTCTAAAATATTTGTTGTTATAAAAAATATGTTATAATGTTATAAAAAAAAAAATTATGATGATGACTGAAAAATAGCTTGAGTGAAAACTTTTTCAAATATGTTTGTTTTTTCTCTAATATTTAGAAAAAAGATATTTGATGATGAAGTTTATACTAAAATGTTGGATTTTTTTTTTCAGTGTTTTGTTTTAGAACAAAGGACTACACCAACTAGCTAGATCATACATTAATCTTTTTCAACTGTAATATTTGAAAATTATAATATTTGAATTTTCATTCTCACAATAAAAAACTGTGGTGTATGCACCGAGGGACCCGGTTTCTTAGTGGTCAGCTTGCAGTTTAATGCACCGAGGGCTGGTGTTCAGCTTCCTTTGGCAGTCTTTAGTCATGCAGACTGAGGCTTTGGAGACTCCTGGCAGTCAGAAGCCTGAGTTCCTATACTCATCTGGTCTATAATCAAAAGCTTTTCCAACCTCATGGACACAGATCATCTCCTTTATTTGACATTTTTGTTAATGAAATTCCAAATTTCTAGTCTAAATCAAATGAATTGTCATTCAGATAAATGACGATTACATGTAACTAAAAGCAGGATGATTTCTATAAATCACTAATTATTATTGATTCAAAAACAAGTGTGGAATGAATGAATGACATCCTGGAAATTACCCCAGCATGAAATCTACCATATCGAAAGCATTAAACTCAGAGGTGTGCTTTCAGCTGGTGACTCTTTGACCCTTCATTGACAAGCCGCTGTAATAAATCTCATCTTCTCATTCCTCTCCTATCAGACTTAATTATAAGAGTGGACCCAAGCAGCAGGCGTGACTGGTTGCATCATCAACTTCTAATGCTGTGCTGATGCTTAATGTAGGTCATGAGAAAATACCATTGTGACCTGTTTTTACGGCATAGTAGGGGTTGTGGATCACAGACACGGTTGAAAAAACCGTGCTAAATAAAAATAAATAACATTTCTACAACTCGATTACATGGGAAAACATCACTATTTAACAATGGCTCTACCTAAGTTTTTACACTGCAATTTCCAGGTGAAATTAACATCGAGGCAGTAAAACACTAACAGATGTTGTCTCTTTTCACACAATTTATGGTTATGGGGCAGATTATCAGCGAATAAAGGCTTGGAGTTTTAAAGTGAAATGTCCAGTGAGTGGCGCTAATGCCGTACGGAGCAAACATGTATAAAACTGCATAATGTTCAAAAATGTTCAAAAAGAAAATTAGGCTTTCTTTTTCAATACTCTGGCCCATAATCATAATTTGTGTGAAAAGAAATAAAGGATGATAAAATAATTTTTTTTTAAGTTTTCTCAACTTTAGATTTTTTAAGTTTTGCAGAGATGTTGGTAGAGGTAAATTTTTTTTTACCGCTTTTTCTGACATAGTAAACTTGCTCGGTAGCTCACCTGGTACAGCATTGCACTTGCAATGAAAAGCTAAAACATGTTTGGGTTTATTATTTTATCTCAGTCAGGTTTATTGTTAATTTCAATTGCGATAGGGGTCATGAACTGCCTTTGTTTTTATGTTGTACTGTTCTCTGAGGTCCACTTACAATGTTATCAAGAGTTTTACTTCAAAAAGCATCATAATTTAGAAGTAATAGGCTATTTTCTGTCCTGATTTTAACCCCCCTCATCAGAACACTCTGTTTGAATAGGCGTGACGGATTGTAGACTCAGAAGTAAATGCCCACTGCTATGATTTGCTAATAGTTCTGTATTTTTGACAGCCTACATCCTTCATAGATGGATGCTGCTGTGATTTAGGTTAAAAACGCAGAAATACTCAGTACATATCAAACGATCTGTAATAGACAAAGCAATAGTGACCACATAATAATAACAGTTACTCACACTTGTGTGGTGCAACATTACTAACTGCTTACAAGCAATACATTATGATTTTGCAACCATTGTGTATCCACAACCACATTTTTTCCATGATATTGTACAGCTTAATTAACCTGTATTTGCAATGGAGAAAAATGGTAGGGCTTATAGTGGCTCTTGTGGATGATCACAAGTATTTCAGCAACGTATTTCAGGTTGCACAGAAATGTAGGCTGTGTCACATATTTAATAATTTATGGTCAACAGTTTTGGTTTTCTGTTGCTTGTGTCCTGGAACAAAACCAGATGAGAACAACAGCAGTATATCATTGATTATATTGGACATTGATGCTTAGTATCACAAAATGAAATGTGGGTTACCAGAATGAGGACACAGGAAAATTCCATCAGGATTGTTCATTTCAACTTCTGTCAAATTGGAAAAAACGTCATACCACAAATCACACATATAATGCAGTGTGCTGTTTTGGAAATCTCATCTAAGCTGGAAAAAAAAGGAAAACACACACCAGCTCTACAGGTAATAAAAGCCTAGCCAAGTAAATGTTCAGGTATTGCTGTATCTGTCTGGGCATAAGTGTAAGATTGGCTAACAGGCCTGGGACATCTAGATTTGAAGTACTTCTTGGATGTACACACTAGAAATAAATTTGACTCATATCTTTTTGGTTCTATTATATTTCCTTTGCAAAGTAATGCATTCAAAACAGTTAACAGTAAGGAATTATATTTGCATGATTAGAGATATTAGAGCAAATGTTTTTAAGCAAACCTAGGTGCAGTTTCTTATTAAGAAGATGACTTATACATTAAAAGTTTGGGGTCTGTAGGTTTAAAAAAAAATGTTTTTGAAGGAAGTAATTTTTTTATTTTTGTCATCAAGAATGCAGTAAAACATTATTATTGTGATTTCTTTTAACAATTTAAAATGGCTGTTTTCTGTTTGAATATATGTAAAAATGTAATTTATTCCTGTGACGCAAAGCTGAATTTTCAGCACCATTATTCCAGTCTTCAGTGTCACATGATCCTTCAGAGATCATTCTAATATGCTGATTTGCTGTTCAAGACTCCCCCCCCAGAGTCTTTCGATGAAAAGAAAGTTCAAATGTATATATATAGAATCCCATGTAAATGTAATATATAGAATCACATTTCCACCACAGAATAAAAAATACCTCACAATTCAGATTATTTCACAAGTTCCCTATCTGTCGGTCACTATGAGTTATGTCGTGACGATATACAGTAGGGGGTTTACTTGAGAGCCCCAATCCGCTCTGACTTTCAGAGAAAACACCAATGAATTTTGGCTAGTGGATTTTGCATACCTGAGCCACTCCACGTGCATACGGGTA